CTGCCACATCTTTTATTTGTCTGTCTCCTCTTTGCTTACAAACCCTGTGGTTAGCCTTTGGTTTCAAATCCTGGCTCTGCCTTTCCTAGGAGTTCCCTTTGACAACCTCTGTGTGTCTCAGTAGTCTCCTTTGTAAATCAAGATGGGTTTTGTAAGCATCGAGTGCGGTAAGGGACATGGAGTACTTTGCACCATGCCTGCCAGCCCAGGCCCGTGCTTGGCAGATGATAGCTTATCCTCTCCTTTTTATCTTTTCTCTGTTCTCACTCTTCTTGTCTCATTATTTTTTGCCCGAGCTTCTGTCCTTTCCCATCGCCTCTCCCATTTCCCCTCCTTCTTAGAATTCGTAGAATCAGAGACTCTCCGACCATGGAGCTCAGTCTCTTTCCACTTTACAGATGAGGAAACTGGGGCCTAGAGGGAAGGTGGCTTCCCCAGATTCACCTTGCAGGTTGGAACTAGAGCTGCAGACTCAGAACTTAGGACTTTTTCCTCAGCGCTAAAGTACTAAGCTCTACCCTCCTCCCCACCCTTCCTTACTCTTTTCTTTCTTTGTCATCTCTGCTCCCATTTCTCACCCCTATGCTCTCTTTTCCCTCTCCTCTGTCCTACCTTCCCCTCCTCCTTCGTTCTGTCTCCTGGAGTGTGTGTTCTGGGTTCCATCTCTGCCTTCTCCTCTAGGACCACTGCCAGGCCACAGGTGCTCCGTGATTTCAGTGGCGGAGGGAAGGAACCTCTCCTCCCTCCTTTTCTGCTTTTCCTTCCTTTCTCTTCCACTTCCTCTGGCCTCTTCAGTCTTCAGAACAACCCCTTTCACCTGCACTGGGTGTTAACAGGCACTTGTGAGGGTGTGTCACAAGTACTTGATTACTGACCACCGTTAAGCTGTCAGTGTGGGGAAGGATTCATTTCTGGAGCAGGTTCAGTATTACCCTAGTGTTAACCTCTCTCAGCACTTCCATTCTAATATGCATTTTTTAAAAAAATATTTTTTTAGTTGTAGATGGACACAATATCTTTATTTATTTATTTAGGATTGAACCCAGTGCCTCACACTTGCGAGGCAGGCGCTCTACCACTGAGCCACAGTCCCAATCCTAATATGCATTTTTGAGTTACTGCCACCAAGCTCAGGGGTGCCCATGAGAACATGGAGTGTTATCATGTTTGCATTGAGGGTGGCTGCAGCTTAGAGAATGGGAAGCTCTATGAGTTTTTCTTGGAGGGCTAAATTTCCTCCATTTTCTTGTTTCTTTTCAGGGCGTCCCCCTGGACACCAGTAAACTGTCTACTGACCAGCGACTGCCCCCCTACCCATACAGCCCTCCAAGTCTGGTTCTGCCCACCCAGCAACCCACCCCAAAGCCTCTGCAGCAGCCAGGGCTACCTGCTCAGGCCTGTTTAGTGCAGCCCTCTGGTGGCCAACCCCCAGGCAGGCAGCCACATTATGGAATACTGTACCCACCTGGGTCCACTGGGCATGGGCAACAGTCTCACCACCGGCCATTGAGTGACTTCAGCCTGGGAAATGTGAGTACTCGGGCTCCTAGCTCAGAAGCAGGGAGAGGGGCTGGGTGGGTCCGGGGGGCCTGAGTGGTATCTCTGAATTACGACATCCAGAAGAAGGGGTCTCCCTTTGTCTCAGGTAACAGCACTGCCAGCTTGGGGCTCCTGTCTTCCTGCGTTTGACCCCTACTCCTGCCCCCCTGTTTCTGCTCAGCTTGCTCTTTGATGACTCCTGCCTTGACCCGTTCTCTTCCTGGCATGCACATGCTCTGGCCCAGCAGGTACGGTGCCCATACCTACTTCGGGCCCCGTGCTCGCTTCTCTTGCTCTGCTTGCTGCCAACCTCCTCTGTCTTTGCCTCTGTTCCTGGGGTGGATGAAGATTGCTGGGTGAAGGGGACATGTTAACATGTCTGGGCAAGGGCAGGCAGGGACATCCTGTTCTGAAGCCTACTTTTTCAAGACGTGTCTTTGTGTCTTTAGCTGGAGCAGTTCAGCATGGAGACCCCATCAACCAATCTGGTGCTGGATCCCCCTGGCTTTTCTGAAGGGCCTGGATTTTTAGGGGATGAGGGGTCAGTGAGTGGCCCCCAGGACCCTCACACCCTCAACCACCAGAACTTGACCCACTGTTCCCGCCATGGCTCAGGACCTAACATTGTCCTCACAGGTGAGTGGGCATGGGTGGTGACGGCAGTGAAAGGAAGGCAGTGGGGCCGTGGTTGGGGCTCAGCCGCAGCACACTTGCCTGGCACGTGTGAGGCACTGGGTTCGATTCTTAGCATCGCATATAAATAAATAAAATAAAGGTCATCAACAACTAAAAAAATATTTAAAAAAAAAAATAAAAGGGAAGGAGTGATACCTTTGCCAACATAAGAAATGGAGGGGTCTTGGGGGAGTTCATGAGGTTTGCGGTCCTTACTTATCTCTTACCCACAGGAGACTCTTCCCCAGGATTCTCCAAGGAGATTGCAGCAGCCCTGGCTGGAGTGCCTGGCTTTGAGGTGTCAGCAACTGGATTGGAGCTGGGGCTTGGGTTGGAGGATGAGCTGCGCATGGAGCCACTGGGCCTGGAAGGGCTAAACATGCTGAGTGACCCCTGTGCCCTGCTGCCCGATCCTGCTGTAGAGGATTCATTCCGCAGTGACCGGCTACAGTGAGGGAACCTCGCCACCATCCTTCTCGGCCCCATCTCCCGTCACTGTCCCTTTCCTCCCTTTCCCCTGGCCAGTAACGACTCCACTCTCTGCCCCCGTGTTCTCTTTCTAACATGAACAAAGGATCCTAAGAATGAGAAAAAGCAAGGGGTTTGTCCAGGTGGCCCCTGAATTCTGCACAATGGGTAGGCCTGGGGGAGCCCAAGGGAGGGCCTAAAGCACTTGTAACTTTGAAAAACGTCTGTCTGGAGGTCAGAGCCTGTTGGAAAGCAGGGGTAGAGGGGAACCCCAGAGGCAGGGCTTACCCAGATGCCTAGGGGTGGGCAGTGCCAGCCCCTCCTCACTACTCTTCTCCTTGCAATGGAGGAAAAGAGCCAGAGTGGATATTATTTTTTATTAAATATATTATATGTTAATAAAAAAATTCTGTCAAACCCTTGGTGTGGTTGGCTGCTGTTTGGGGTGTGGCTGGGATCTAGGAAATTCTTGAGCCAGGGGCCCTCTTATCTGCTAAGCATGTTGCATCTTTTCAGTACTGTCGTGCTTTGTGGAAGGGCCCCAGCTTCACAATTTGTATCCAAGATTGGACACGAAGACCTGTGAAGGGTGTAAGCTTCCACGATGGCAGGAAGACATGTCCTGTGCCCTCAAGTTTGTCTAGGACTCTGCTGCATCAGGAGACTGGCCAGACAAGTTGCTTCCCTTAGCCTGAGGCCTGGAAGTGCGTTGTGGTTGAGGAGATGGCTGCTGGCTGAGTTCACAGGTCTGATTTTTCTAGTGGAATGACCCCAGCTTTCCTGGGGTAGCTGGCCTCAGTACTAAGGTTTCAGAGAAGAGAGAATTTAACAACCAGGAACTCCATGTAGGTCTTGGCTCCCTTGTTAGGGTCATTTATACCTCCAGGACCTAGACAAGCCTCTGTCTCTAGGTGTCAGGGTCGCCCTCCATTCCCTCTTGGTTCTTATGCATGATTCATTTCCACCTCTCCACATCTCCACTTATTTGAGAATTTTAATCCAACAGATCGTTGCCTGTCAACCATGTTCTGAAGAGGTTTTCCCTTTCTGCGTGTGTTTGCCAGTGCTCTGGCTGCCTGGGCCTCCGCTCTTTGCCCACCCGGCACAGTGTGAGGAGTGATGCCCTCCTCAGTTACCCCACCTCCACTACTCTGCACCACACCCTACAGTCCTAGTTTCCACTCTTCCTCTTTGCAAAGCTCATGTCATTTCCAGAAAAGAGAACTGAGAGCTTCTGAGGGGAATGCAGTGTGTCCTAAACCTGGAAATGCGGGGAGCTTAGCCACCTGGGTTCCTCTAGTGGAGACCGTCACTTTCTCCCAGGCATGCGCACCACATCCGGCTGTAGGACCCAGGGCAGCAAGGGAGAAGACGCCGACTCCAGGGCTGCCCAGGGTCAGCGTCCAGAGGCGCTGGCTAGGTGGTGGGAAGCCTCTTGGTGCAGGGGGCCCTCCCAGCCGCCAGGGGTCGCGCTGCAGGCGGCA